GAAGACAAGCCCTAAGACAGACAAAATACATAAGCAGATTAGTTTTTTCCAATGTTGTCCAACCATTTTACAGTACTAATAATGGCATCTTGAAAAAAAGGGCTAGTCCAACATATATTTTCTACCAGGGAAAATGCTTACAATAATACAAACTTCTTTTAAAGTCATTGGGAATATGAATTATATCTTATCAAAAGCATTTGTGGGTTCAGGCCCTACCAGAGTTAATGGAATAACAATAAGTAATACACTGGTCACTAAAAATAGGAGGGAAGAAACATATATTTAAAGCTACTGTCCTAAGTATATTCTACTTAAATTACACAATATAGAAGGATCCATATACTGTGTATTTTATCTACTGTCACATTATTCTTTCGTTGCTTCATATGCATTGCTGCAGGTCATACTCGAGCAGATTCTTAGCTGCAGTACTGCATTATCTTCAATGGATTTATACTGATTTACACACTGTATAACTTAAGTGAAGAACAGAATTTAAAGTGCCCAAACCTATGACATACATTATATATAAAATTTCCTTACTGATATTTTAATTTATTGGCTGGTCAACAGAATTTGTTCTTACAGAACAAAAAAGGAATATTGTAATACTTGTGTCCTAATAACTTTTGTTTTAACTACTAGTTCCAATTAAACTAAAATCAACTGATACCTTTTGAGGGGCCAAAATCCTTTGCCTGAACTTTTCAATTGTATCTTGACCTGCAGCAGTCCAGGCACTGACAAATGCTTCTGCTTTGTCTTGATCAAGGTGAATGCTCTCCAGCTGCTGTTGCAAAATACCTGGTTTCAGATTATGATAGACTGCCTGTATAACAGAAAAAAAAGAGTGTAAAATACACTGATACAAGCAATTTCAGTACTTGATTAAGAAAACCTCTTTAGCATGTGCTTAAACTTATGCTTAAGTACTTTTCTAAAATAGGGATATTCTTCTCTATAGAGGTCTAAATGCTTCGTTTTTTCACTCTAAAATAAAGTACTCTATTAATGAAAAACAAAAGCATGCATTACATGATTACTATGAACCTGTGAGCCCCTTAATGCCAGCTGACAAACAGGGCCATTCCCAGGCAGCCGTGTGTGCTCGTATAGTGGAGGACAGCCATGACCATCTGTGCTAGTTCCTCTCTGGCCTCACCACAAGGCTGTGCTCACCTGTCCGCTGCAGCGGCTTCTGCCTGCCCCCTCCCCCCACCTCTTCTATGTGCTCCTCTCAAACAGCAGCAGCTAGCTGATTAAGGTTCCCTGCTATCAGACTGGAGGCAGAGAGGAATCCAGCCTCTGCAGCTCCAGGGAAGTCCCTGAGTCCTGGTAGAAGCTGTAGGGGAGGGAGTAGGAAGAAGCCCTAATCCCCAGACCCCTGGCAGAAGCTGCATTCGGGGGAGAGGAGGAGGGGAAGCCCCAGGTTCCCAGCAGAAGCCACTTGGGGGAGGAAGCACCTGAACCCGAGCAGAAGCTGTGTAGTGGAGGAGGGAGAGTTCAGTTGAATAAGGCCCCACAATTTGTAAGAATGGCCCTGCTGACAAAGGACCCACTATACTGTACCTTACATCATGCCTGGTACATCCATTATACCCAACATACTCTTGTCATCCTATTATCTAAAAGGTGTCACATAAGGAATCTTATGTAAACTACTGACAAGCAGATATAAAAAATTGTTGTATGGTATAAATACGTGTTGTGTACAAAGCTGCGTATTTGCTGGAAATATGGTCTTAAAATGTATTTCGGGGAGAGTGCATAAGTCCAGCTTATCCTAAACAAAGGCATGTGCATTTACCTGTCTGACTGGCTTGATTCCAGGCAGAGGACAACAGAAATACATTTACATTGAAGGTGAACAAAGCCATCAAGCTATCAAACAGGAGAAGACACTGTAATAATCACACTAAGGAGACAGAATCTGCACCCCATGAAGCCTTCCTGGGGCTTGATGCAGAGAAAATTGACATTGGGAAATATAAGGAGAGCAAAAAAGCCACTGGAGTTAACTATCACTAGGGGACATAAGGTACAGCACCCTCTGACTCTGTGAAAATTAGATCACCTAATCCAGAGTCTAGGGATTTTGGTAACTTGATGAAAATAAGAAAACTGCTTAGTCAAAGATTGTAACTTGCTAAAATTAAGTTTTAGACACTAAAAAACATGTTATATTTTGGTTTGCTTATAATCAAACCTGTCTTTCCCTCTTGCTTAGCACCACTTAAGTCTCTGTTTGTTTAATAAACTTAATCTTGTATTACTGCAAAAACATTTCATTGCTGCGTATTAAAGTGAAGTGTGAGTCTTCAGCAAACCTAACTAGGTGGTATGTGTTCTGTTTCTTAGGAGGCAGAAAACTTAATTTCTATGAGTGTCCAGTGAGAAGAAATGGACACTCCAGAGCATGGGTTCCCAAACTGGGGGGCGTGAAGAAATTCCAGAGGGGGGGGCGTGAGGCAACCCAGCCTCCCCACCCCCATCAAGTTTTGCTGTCACGCTCAGTTCTTGATGCTATTGGGGGGGGGGGGGGCTGAGGGTTTTTCAAAAATCCAAAAGAGGGGCATGATGCCAAAAAGTTTGGGAACCACTGCTCCAGAGAAACATTTCTGGAGGAATTAAGGTTCACTAACTGTTATCTGCAATGCAAAGTTTGGACTAGAAAAGTCTTGAAGGGTTTGCTGGTAAGGCTCACAGGCTGGTGTGCCAGAGACTTGACATACAACTTAGCAAGAGCAAAGCTCTAACTTTTTCTGGGGCAGAGGGATAACATAGGTGAGCTCACTTCTATTTCTCTAGAACAGGTAGGTATTATTATTAAACAAGCAAAAGTTACAATGGCCAAATATCTATCTTTCCATCCATTTAAACGTAAGTATTGTATTCTTTATGCCCCAATATATCCCTGTGGCACTTCTTCATTGAAACAAAAAGGAAAGTAATCAAAAAAACTTTTTTGACCTTATCTTTCTTTCCCAAAACTGATCTTTTCCTATTTTTTTATTTGAGTAAAGTACAATCCAGCACAGAAGCATTTTAACTGAATTCATTTACTAACAAATATTCATATTTTATAAGAACAATACTAAATACTTAGCTTAGAGATGCAATTTACCCAAAATGAATGCAAAACAAGATTGAACCAAACTGTAAGTCCAAGCTTACAAATTTTTACTTACAAAAGTAGACCCACTAACTTTAATGGATCAATCAGAGGCTCATTTAACTGCACATCAAGTAATGTGATCTATGCCAGCAATGCCCGACTGCAATATATTTTGGACAAACTGCTCAGTCCCTACGGGAAAGAATCAATGGACACAAATCAGATATCCATAAAGGGAACATACAGAAACCTGTTGGTGAACACTTTAATCGGCCCGGTCACTCATTAAGAGATCTTCAAGTTGCTGATTTGTTACAGACCAGTTCCACAAGCCAAATACACAGGTAAGGGTTAGAACCGAACTACAGTTCATTCACAAGTTTAATTCTCATGCCCATGGCCTGAATTAAGATACCAGATAGCTGGGACATTATCAACCAACCAACCAACGAAAGTGCCAATGGTTCTTTGTCTGTGTAGAATCTGGTATTAGTACTCTTCCTCGCTAATTGCTAACTTATCTGCTTCTTTTAACTATCCAGGCTTTAGGTGCGTATAGGCTATCAGTTTTACATGTTACATACTATTCGGCTTTCCCTTTGATTTATATATCCACTGCCCCCGCCCTTCCTTCCCTATTTATTTTTGGTTCTGCACATCCAACACTCCGGTCATCTGAAGAAGTGAGCTGTGCCCACGAAAGCTGATGATACCATCTACATGTTTTGTTAGTCTTTAAAATGCTACTAGACTTTTGAGGGTTTTTTTAAGTTTATCCTGTACAGACTAATTCGGCTACCCCTCTGTAACTTAAATGGGTTACTCATCTGAATAAATACTGCTTTCATAGGTAGAAGTTTACATAACTGATATCTTAAGTAATAAAGCTATCACAGAGCAACTTTGTACAATATTATATTTATCTACATCATCGGGGAAGAAATGTTTATCAGTTTTGCAAGTGAGCTTTATTATTGCTGTTTAAATATTGTATGTGCCTTTTAAAAATGTGTCTCTGTATTTAAAGCAAAATGCAGGACAATGTAGCACTTTAAAGACTAACAAGATGGTTTATTAGATGATGAGCTTTCGTGGGCCAGACCCACTTCCTCAGATCAAATAGTGGAAGAAAATTGTCACAACCATATATACCAAAGGATACAATTAAAAAAAATGAACACATATGAAAAGGACAAATCACATTTCAGAACAGAAGGGGGATGCGGGGAGGGGGGAAGGAAGGTGAATGCCTGTGAGTTAATGATATTAGAGGTGGGGAAGGATAGATGTCTGTGTCCCCACCTCTAATATCATTCACTCAGAGGCATTCACCTGTATTTTCCTGTAGTCAGCCGCTGGTCAGTTTCAGCAGCGGCTGACTTGGGGACACCTGGGGCAGAGCAGCTGGGGTGCTGCTGGGTTGGTCCAGTAGCGCCAATTGGGGAAGCTATCTTGGTAATGGGAAAGATAGTTTGAGTGTTTGTTCATTCCTTCTCCGAGAGTGTCGAATTTTAACATGAATGACAGTTCAGAGGATTCCCTTTCAAGTGCAGATGTAAAAGGTCTTTGTAGCAGAATGTAGGTGGTTAAGTCATTGAGAGAGTGTCCTTTCTGGTTAAAATGGCAAGAAACTGTTTTCTCTTTGTGATCTTGTCTGATATCTCTTTTGTGGGCATTAATCCTTTGGCGAAGTGTCTGAGATGTTTGTCCAATGTACATAGCAGACGGACAGTTTCGGCACATGATAGCATAAATTATATCTCTGGATGCGCAGGAATATGTGTTCTTGATCTTATAACTCACTTGGTTAGGTCCAATAATGCTATCAGCAGAATGAATATGTGGACAAAGCTGGCAATTCCCCAATTATCACCTGTAATACCATTAACTCACAAACATCCCACTCTCCCTACCTTTAATATCAGCAATTCACAGACACTTACCTTCCTTCCTCCCCCTTCCCACCCCCCCGCATCCTCCTTCTGTTCTGCAATGTGATTTGTCCTTTTCATATTTGTTCTTTTTTTTAATTGTATCCTTTGGTATATATGGTTGTGACTACTTTCTTCCACTATTTGATCTGAGGAAGTGGGTCTGGCCCACGAAAGCTCATCATCTAATAAACCATCTTGTTAGTCTTTAAAGTGCTACATTGTCCTGCATTTTGCTTCAACTACCCCAGACTAACACGGCTACATTTCTATCACTATTCTACATGCAAGGCACTACATTTAGCCGTTTGGAATGGAAATCCATCAACCATATGAAGAAACTCGCACAGATACAGACAGACATCATCTTTCTATCCAAGTGCAAGAAAATGGACATCGTACCCAAAGGACTGAAAGTGAACAATCCACTAAGATCAACATACTTCACTGACTACAGTGAAAGACTCTGCCTCACACTATCCAAGAAATTAAGAAACCACCTGATAAGTATTTTATACAAGAAACAGAAAACCATCAAGAATGACATTTCTAACTTAGATCGTCTCATCTCAAGACAAACATCCACACCGACTGACACCTTGCAAGACTTTTGTTCCACCAGACAAGAAATCTACTATACACACTTCTATTCCCTACAACAAAGAAAAGACAATAAATTTTCTAACCTGCTCCATACCACTGGCTACAACAGCAACTGCCTCAACCCACCGGATAATATTGTTAACCTCGCCAGCTACAAACTCAATCCAGCAGAAGAGTCTGTCTTGTCCCGGGGTCTCTATTTCTGCCCCACGTCCCCCACAAACCGGATACAATTTTGTGGTGACCTTCAGGCTTTTTTTCGCTGCCTCCGCCTCAGAGAATATTTCCAAACCACCAACGAACATCAATCTGACCTACCAGATCCCCCCTATCAACACCAAAGGAAAAATAATTCTTTATGGACTCCCCCTGATGGTCAGAATTACAATCTGAATTTCTATATACAAAGCTTCTGCAACAACGCACAGACTGACATTATTCGCAAACGACAACAAGCGACACACAATCTATTAACTCTGGTTTGTAACCTATCCTTTAAATCAGCTTCTGTACCCAATGACCAGAAGATAGCTGATGTAATGCCAATATTTAAAAAGGGCTCTAGAGGCAATAATTGCGATTTGTCTAATTTGCATCCCTTTTACGGAAAAGGGATGCAGTCTAGACACAGCCTTAGAGTTCTTTGAAGGGTCAACAAACGTGGACAAGTGGGATCCAGTAGATGTAGTGTACTTAGATTTCCAGAAAGCCTTTGACAAGGTCCCTCACCAAAGGCTCTTACGTAAATTAAGTTGTCATGGGATAAGAGGGAAGATCCTTACATGGATTGTTCCCTGTCTTTTAACCAGTTCTCAAAGGGCAGGAATTAATGATAAATTTTCAGAATGAAGAGGGGTAACTAGTGGTGTTCCGCAAGGGTCAGTCCTAGGACCAATCCTATTCAACATATTCATAAATGATCTGGAGAAAGGGGTAAACAGTGATGGCAAAGTTTGCAGATGATACTAAACTGCTCAAGGTAGTTAAGACCAAAGCAGACTGTGAAGAACTTCAAAAAGATCTCATCAAATTAAGTGACTGGGCAACAAAATGGCAAATTAAATTTAATGCGGATAAATGTAAAGTAATGCACATTGGAAAAAATAACCCCAATTATACATATAATATGATGGGGCTAATTTAGCTACAACTAATCAGGAAAGAAATCTTGGAGTCATCGTGGATAGTTCTCTGAAGACGTCCACACCGTATGCAGCAGCAGTCAAAAAAGCAAAGAAGATGTTAAACAAGCTGTCAGGAACAGTATTCCTGATGATGCCACAGCACAACTGGTGGCTGAACTCTGTGAATTTATCCTCACACACAACTATTTCAGATTTGGTGACAACATATACCTCCAGACCAGTGGCACTGCTATGGGCACCCGCATGGCCCCACAATACGCCAACATTTTTATGGCTGACCTGGAACAACGCTTCCTCAGCTCTCGTCCACTTACACCCCTTCTCTACCTACGCTACATCGATGACATCTTCATCATCTGGACCCATGGGAAGGAGACTCTGGAAGAATTTCACCATGATTTCAACAGCTTCCACCCCACCATCAACCTCAGCATGGACCAATCTACACGGGAGGTCCATTTCCTGGACACCACGATACAAATAAGTGACGGTCATATCAATACCACCCTATACAGAAAACCTACCGACCGCTATACTTACCTGCATGCCTCCAGTTTCCATCCCGGACACACCACACGATCCATTGTTTACAGCCAAGCACTGAGGTACAACCGCATATGCTCCAACCCCTCAGACAGAGACCTACACCTACAAGACCTTCAACAAGCATTCTGTAAACTGCGATACCCACACGAGGAAGTGAGGAGACAGATTGACAGAGCCAGACGTGTACCCAGAAGCCTCCTGCTACGGGACAAGCCCAAGAAAGAAACCAACAGAACACCACTGGCCATCACCTACAGTCCCCAGCTAAAACCTCTCCAACGCATCATTAGTGATCTTCAGCCCATCCTGGACAATGATCCCTCGCTCTCACAGGCCTTGGGAGGTAGGCCGGTCCTTGCCCACAGACAACCCGCCAACCTGAAGCATATTCTCACCAGCAACTACACACCGCACCATAATAACTCGAACTCAGGAACCAATCCTTGCAACAAACCTCGGTGCCAACTCTGCCCACATATATACACCAGCAACACCATCACAGGACCTAACCAGATCAGCCATACTGTCACTGGTACATTCTCCTGCACATCCACCAACGTAATATATGCCATCATGTGCCAACAATGCCCCACTGCTATATACATCGGCCAAACAGGACAGTCCCTACGTAAAAGAATCAATGGACACAAATCTGATATTAGGAATGGCAACATACAAAAACCTGTAGGGGAACACTTCAATCTTCCTGGACACACAATTGCAGATCTAAAAGTAGCTATCCTGCAGCAAAAAAACTTCAGGACCAGACTTCAAAGAGAAACTGCTGAGCTACAGTTCATCTTTAAGTTTGACACAATCAACTCTGGATTAAACAAAGACTGTGAATGGCTTGCTAACTACAAAAGCAGCTTCTATTCTCTTGGAATTCACACCTCCAGATCAGCTGCTAGAAGTGGGCCTCATCCTCCTTGATTGGATCCACCTTGTCATCTCCAGCCTGATCCTGGCCTGCATATTTATTCCTGCCTCTGGAAATTTCCACTACATGCATCTGACGAAGTGGGTCTTTGCCCACGAAAGCTTATGCTCCTACACTTCAGTTAGTCTATAAGGTGCCACAGGACTCCTCGTCGCTTTTGCAGATTCAGACTAACACGGCTACCCCTCTGATACTTGGCATTAGAAAAGGTTCAGAGAAAGGGCAACTAAAATGATTAGGGGTTTAGAACGGGTCCCATATGCGGAGAGATTAAAGAGACTAGGACTTTTCAGCTTAGAAAAGAGGAGACTTTCTAAAAGAGGGATATGATAGAGGTATATAAAATCATGAGTGGTGTGGAGAAAGTGAATAAGGAAAAGATATTTACTTGTTCCCATAATATAAGAACTAGAGGCCACCAAATTAAATTAATGGGCAGCAGGTTTAAAACAAATAAAAGGAAGTTCTTCTTCACACAGCGCATAGCCAATCTGTGGAACTCCTTGCCTCAGGAGGTTGTGAAGGCTAGGACTATAACAGGGTTTAAAAGAGAACTAGATAAATTCACGGAGGTTAAATCCATAAATGGCTATTAGCCACTTTGCGTAAGGAATGGTGTCCCTAGCCTCTTTGTCAGAGGGTGGAGATGGATGGCAGGAGAGAGTTTGCTTGATCATTACCTGTTCGATTCACTCCCTCTGGGACACCTGGCATTGGTCACTGTCGGCAGACAGGGTGCTGGGCTGACTGGACCTTTGGTCTGACCCAGTATGGCCATTCTTATGTTCTCCCACTGAATTCAGCAGAAACAGGGTGTACTTGTGAAGTTTTATTCTGCTAAGTGAAAGGATCACAAGCTGGTGCTCAGAGATGTGTAGAAAAGCACAGGATACAAACTGAAGGCAAGCTTCTACCCTCTTCACTCCCATTAAGTAGAGCCTTGTTCCTCAAGTGCAACTCTGACTTCAGTGAGACTACTTGCAAAGTAAGATACAGGTTGAGTATCTCCAGTCCTGCACTTTCTGGTCCAGCAACATCTGTGGTTCAACACGATTTTAGTTAGTCAAAGGTCCACTTACCATGGGTATGGACAAGTTATTTTGGTCCGATAAAATGTGTTTACAGCCACCAGTCCTGGATCCAGTTTTCTGTGCTGTTATTTAGCTCTAATTTACCCCCAAAAGTCTTCTAAGAGTTTTGTAAGCGGTGAAAGTGTTGGTAATGCTGCTAGACAATATTGACCTCGCATGGTTTGGAAAATGTCAGGTGCAGGGGGTGCCGGACTCGAGAGGTTCAACCTGAACTATGCAACTTGAGTATAGGACGCAAGATCAATCCTTCAATAGATAAATAGCATAACTGCTACATTTATTTTCAGGAAATGTCTACTTCAACATGCTCTGGAGAATAATTTTCCTATCAAACAAGCATTGTGTTTCAAATATTTAACAATTCACATCGATATAAATGATACCTGTTCCAAAATAAACGATATTGTTTCAAGAACAAGATGAAGATCTTGCTTCTCCATTGAAAACGCAGCTTGAAGTTTTTCTTCCTCCTCTTCACTGAAACTGCTCTCAGCCTGAAGTATAAAAAAGGGATTATTACTGGTATTCCATCTGCCATCCAGAATTTGTTTTACAAAAGGCAAGTTTTGCTAAAACATTAGAGTCAAAGGTTTTCTTTGTTTTTAAATGGGAGAGGGAAAACAAATCTTGTTAGAGGAAAAATGTATCAGGATACCAAACTCCTCACCCAAATCCACTAACTTCAGTGGGTGCCTCTCCATTTCTTTTAATGGGCTTTTGATCAGAACTTTATGAAATATGCATACAACTACACACTTTTTTCTCACTGTTTATAAAAATATTCATGAAATTACTATTTAAAGACATCTTTTGACAACATATGATAATTTCCTTTATGTAGAAAAAGTTACATATTTATATTTGGCCATCCAAAAGAGCAACAATGGTATAATGTGCACTGGCTGGACTAGAAATAAAAGCACCAAAAAGGCAGTAAAGTATTAGTGCAGTTAAATACGCTCCCCTTGGTTTGCTATTTACATTTCTCCAATCGGAGTGTATTTTCTTCAAGAAGAGATAACAATAAAGGTCTATTTTGGGAAATTTAGAAAGACGTCTACAAAACGTCAAAAATCTATAACATGTCATATTAAAGGTCACTGAATGGAAAATCCTACTTAACTAATGTACTGTATGTTTAAGCACAAGGCAAATATTGCCATCTTTTAAAATAGAATGTTCTATATTTTAGACAAACAACATAGTTAGGACAAAGAGTAATCCAGTAATTGCACAGCTACTAAAAAAAAAAACAGTTGAACTGTTTGAGTAAAAATAATGTAATTATAAGGAGACCTAGATGGCCAAAAAATTGTGTGTCTAATAAGAATGCAAATATGAAAATGGTAATTTAATCTTTGTCTGCAGTATTTTGGTAGTTTAATCTTTGTATGCAGTATTGTTGTATCCATGCTGGCCCTCATATATTAAAGAGAGAAGATGGGTGAGGTAATAGCTTTCATTGAATCAACTTCTGTTGGTGAGTCCTGAAGAAGAGCTCTGGTAAGCTTGTCTCAGTTTAGTCTTTAGCTTTTCAAAGGAAACATGCAGTTTTAAGTATCTTGGCTAATATAAGGAAGTTTATTTAAAATTTCCACCAATTCAGTGTTCCCTTTAGTTAGGCAGCTCATAGTTTGTGAAATTGGTAACACAATACTGTCTTTGAATCCAAGTCTATCATTCAAATCCAGTGCAGCTCAATAGTCACAAAAAAGTATTATGCTATATAATGGTCATTTAGTAGCTTAGGTAAAATTAAGTTAATAGCTCTTTTTCCCCGCTAGCAGGTAAATACCTTCATTAATTCATTCATAAATAAATCACAGTTACTATTACCAAACCCTTGTTAGTAATTTCAGCAGAAAAATCAAGAATTGAATCAAACAGATTAAACAACTCTCAGAGTCTTAGATGTGATTCCACTTTATTCAAAGTAGGAATAAGATCCTCCGGAAAAGGGCGCTTTTTCCGGAGGATCGGGGCCAGTGTAGACGCTCTTTTCTGGCTTTTCTAAAAGCCGGAAAAAAGCGGCGGACATTTTTATTTAAATGCCGCGGGGGATATTTAAATCCCCCGCGGATTTCCCTATTACGATAGCTGAAATTAACATGCCCCTTCCGGAAAAGGGGCCAGTGTAGACGTAGCCCCTATAGAGGAAAAAAGGGTGTATTTTTTTTACTTGAAATAATCTATGTGTTAAACATGCAAGACAAAATCTAAAGACTTAAGAAAACAGTATTTTATTACAGGATTTTAAAAAACATAAAATTTTCAGTAACTGGTATGATGTATTCATAATAGAGCTTAAACATGTAAAAAAGACAAGGAGTACACACCTTTAGATGAAGCTTTTGAAGTATGCGGGAGAGTAATCGGGGAAATTTGCCTGTGTCTATCATGTTAATGAGCAACACTGCTTTTTTGATGCTATGTAAAATGAAAAAGATTGCGTAAGTTTCTTAATTTAAACATATTGGCTTTAAACAATGTACTGTAAATATTTTTGTTTTCACGCACCTGCAAGCGCACTTGGGGTACTGGCTTCTAATCCAAATGAATTTGGATTAAACAGATTTTCTTGATACTTTAAACACAATTTATAAAAATTCACAGTGAGAATTACAGAGCCAGTCTCCAAGTGAGGAGCAAAATAGCGATACTCCCTCTCCTCCCTTCTCCAATTAAACCGGCTGAGCGGATAACCTGGGTGCCCTAGCTCAGCCGGCTGTGCGATACTGACACGGTCACGCTGCCCACATGCTGGAAGCGGCGAGAGGGGGCCGTGCCGCAGGCGCAGTGATCCCAGCCCGCTAAGAGAATTACAGAGCCAGTCTCCAAGTGAGGAGCAAAATAGCGATACTCCCTCTCCTCCCTTCTCCAATTAAACCGGCTGAGCGGATAACCTGGGTGCCCTAGCTCAGCCGGCTGTGCGATACTGACACGGTCACGCTGCCCACATGCTGGAAGCGGCGAGAGGGGGCCGTGCCGCAGGCGCAGTGATCCCAGCCCGCTAAGGAACTGGGGTCCCAGCTTGGGGTTCAGTGGGGGAGGTCTGGGGGCGGGGGTGCCCCAGAGTTTGGGGGACACTGAGGAACTGGCGGTCCCAGGCCGGGTGTCGG